AAATTAAGCTTCATATTTAGTCTATAAATAGGCTTATGTTTCCAGGGTATTGTAGTATGTATAACTTTATCTTTTTACTGTATATATTTATATGTATTTTTTCATTGAGAAAAACGATAAAGCTTAATATAGCTACAGCTAGCTATACCCCAGTGTATGATAATATATACAGAAAACTTGTCCACAAGTGGTTTTTATTTCAAATTTATAGAAATTCCTTAGGCAGAAATATCTGCATCTAAACTCTAAGGAAAGTTGGGTCTTGGAAAGATTCTGCTGGAAGGAACAAGCTGAGCATCTGGTTGAAATGATCTTGTTTTTCTCAGTTACTTAATGGACAGTGACAATGACAAGTAACAAGTCTTTTAGAAAATAAGTGGAGAATGAGTCTGTAGACTACGATGTGACATGCCAAAAATCTGGCAGTCATATTTCTGATAATGAATATAGAGTTAGAAACAGCCTTTTTCTGAAAATCTCAGACCAAATTATTTACATATTAGGCAGAAATTGGAGTCAGATGAACTCAGAAGCTTAAAATGCAAGATGGAAATTAAGTTCTATCAAATAAAATTTAGGGCCTATCTTTTTTAAAAGTTTGCCGTGTCTAATACACTATTAGAAAAGCATAAACCAAAAATTACATATAATTCAGCATTTAATATTTGAAAATAAGTGGGAAAAAGTAGAGCTGGGATGAGTAGTAAGCCCTTCAAAGTGACAGATTGATTTGTTTATTGATTGGCAGAAGATAAAGGGATGAGAATTTTCCTTACCGGAATTTGGCAGTTTGAAAAGTTCATTTGTAATCACGTTATTTTTTAAATCTGAGTGCATTGCGCGTAAGTCATAGTGATTCAAGCAGATAGGCTTTTGTCAGTTCAGGTAGAGAAAGTCAGTTTCTTCTAGTGACATTCATAAGATGTCCTGGAAATGGCAGTGGACATCTTAAAGCAAAAAAGACTTGGACAGGCCTCACTTGCCCTAATTATAATTGCAAAAGGGAAGGCAGGCTCCTGGTGGTCTCTCCACTGTTGCTCAGCCTCATCTTGAGGCGGCTGCTTTCTCATTTCTTGTCTGTATCAGCCTACAGCTGTCAGGCCTCTGCAGCTACGATGGCAGTTGACATTCTGAGGATTTACTAATTGTTCATAGTGTGGTCACGTAGACAATAAATCTATTATTTGGCAGCACTGAACATTTTTCCACCATGTTGATGACACTTTAAATGTATTTGTCAGTTTTCCCAAATTTTAACTGGAGAAAACTTTAAGAATTTATACTTGATCATACTTGAGGACTAAAGTGTGACCATAAGTTATCAGGTCAGTATCACCCCACCCCATCCCCCACCTTGTACCACCCCCAGGAATATCTCTGCCATACTAAAACTCAATGCAGTTTTACTATCATGCATTTATATTTCAGACAAAAAGTTACTGCAGTATGTCGTGTGTTGAAATTAGATTCAAATGTAAAGGACAACAAAAAACCTGGAAAATTTTAATATTTACAAAGAATGGTTGTGGGAATATGCAAAAAACAGATCTCTTGGGTTTGAATTACACAGCTGGGGCCCTTCTTTCTCTCTTGTGTCATGTTTGTATTACATTCACTTCCTGTAGACACCAAGTTAAATAATTGGTACATATTAGCAAAATGTTCCTGATATTAAAATTTGTGTGCAGAAGTTATTTCCTAGTGCAGATGTAACATGAATATTGTTCTTTATGCCATTGACAAAGAACAGAATTTTTTCTTGCTTAGACTAGACTGTTTTATATTGGGTTGCCCAAAAGTTTAATCAGGTTTTTCCATAATATCTCACAGAAAATCCTAAATGAACTTTTTCGCCAACCCAGTAATTAAAGGGACTAAAGACTGTTTCAATTTCACTCTTTTTTGAGGATGTATATTTATCATAACAAATCAAAAACTTTGATTTAGGGATAGTCTGTTTGAGTTCCTTTTGTATATTTACCTATAATTACTTGACTTCTCTAACAAATAATTCTTGATTTTCACTCATGAAAGCTTAGAATGGAACCATGAAGGACTTTAGAGATTATCTAGTGTATTTTAGTTCATCTGTGAGGAAACTCACTGCCAGAGCAGCTAGATAATTTTTTTTTTCCTCAAAACTATATAGCTGGTTAGTATCAGAGCTGAGACTGAAATTCTACATTCTTCACTCATCACACTGCTTCCTTAAACCACAGTTTTAGATTTCTTAATGAGAATATTTAAGGAATAAAAAAATATTGAAGGAAATACATTTTGGCTCCATTCCTAGTTGATTTACTCAACTAGTGCAGTTAGTATTTATAAAGTCCCTTTACCAAGTGCTCATTATTCTACTTAACATCAGGGGAGAGGTGAAGAAAGATATAAAATGATTCCTCTGCTTTATAATATCCTTAAGAGAGATTTAAAACATGAAACCATCAGGAAATGGGGGAAGGATTTCATCTAAGAAACATTAAATGACTCAAATGGTAGTTTAAATTCCTCACAATTCTTCACTCCAGGATGCTATCTATCATCCTTCTTTATCTGTGGTTCCCAACTACAAAAGGGTAGCCAGAGTCACTTATTTCTAAAGTAACTGATCTTGACTGTCCCTAGTTTTGGTAATGCCTTTCTCAGAATGCTTTTGGAAAATGAGAGAGGATAGTAGTTCTTAATAATGAAAGCATTGATCAGCTTGTATCAGGAGCTTGGCAAGATGTTTTGTATTTATTAAGTCAATCTTTACAGCAGTCCTATGAGTTAGATATCATTTAATTTTAACAGATAGGAAAACTGGGAATCAGAACACTTGCCCAGTCACACAACTAGGAAGATGTCAACCTGGCATCTATCTGACTGCAAAGTAATGTGTTTTTCCAATATACTATCTTTAAGTGTAGCTTTATTAGGTTTGTGGGTTTGGGGGTTTTTGTTTGTTTGTTTTTTAGTTTTTATTTTTAAAGTAACTGTTGTGAAGTATCTAATACCTATGTGAGAATTATTTACTAGTGGCTAACCCTCACCAGTTAGAAATTTAGCAGTTAGAGCTGAAGTTACATTGAACATATTTTACCATGTGGCAAAAGATTCGTACAGCATGTTCTGGAAGGATATCTAACAACACAGTGAAGTATGTATTTTCTACATGCCCTCATTCGCTTAAAGGCAGTAGTTCTAGAAGGAATCAATGACTCTTTTGTGTGCCTCCTAAAATTTAATGTGCTCATAGGAATTGGGAGTTACTAGAGGGTGTGTGAACTAGTCATGTTGTGATTCACTTAGGGAAAAAAAAAAAGTACATGAGAGTGGCAATTTAAAAGTAGAGAGTGGGAGAGGGAAAACAGTGTTTGTTCTACTTTGTAAGTTATCAAATGTGTCTTACCATACACACTAGCCAAAGAGCCTTCAGAGATTGTATCACAGTCTAACTTCTATCTATGTGTGGTTTGTGAGAAATTAATCTTATGGAAAGGGTTGAATTTGTGCCATGCAATTTGCCATTTAACGTATTTTAAAAGATGCAAGACTTCATAGAAATGTGAACTTGTTAAGTCGAATAAATTCAGTTTATAATAGCCTGGCCAATTAAGATGTTTAAACAATATATTTTAAGCACTTATTTAAAAGTACACTTGTATATGGTTGCACTTAAGTCTTGTTTTACTGTGAAATATAAATATTGTGATAGATGTTACCTGTGAAAGTAGACGATTTAAAAGAAAAATTTCTCCTGCACTCCCACCAAACATTATCTTTGCTCAAATTGATTTCAACCAATATCAGAGGGATCCCAGAGTGTTTTATATACAGTTTTAGAGTTTGGTTGTCTAAAACTAGAATATCTTTTTATGGTATAACAGTTTTTCAGTGAAATAGTATTCATTATAACAAAATTTTACCTGAACTTCTAGTGAATAAAACTAGTGACTAATTGTTTCAGAGAACTCTGGCAGGTTATAGTTTATGGAGTTGCAAAAGAGTAGACACAACTTAGCTACTGAACAATAACAATTCTTTCTGAGACCTTCTAGGATGTTTGACTATATGCCAGGAGGGAAAAATAATGAAAATCTGATCTTTGTAAATGGTGATAAAGTCAATAATTAAAATGAATTTTATTTTCTTTTACTGCTCAGTTTATGGAAAGTTCTTATTTTTACATTTAGTTACAACCATTTCCTTTCTTTTTTAAAATTTATTTTTAATTGGAGGATAATTGCTTTACAATACTGTGTTGGTCTCTGCATACATCAGCATGAATCACCTTAGATATACATGTGTCTACTCCCTCTTGAACCTCCCTCCCACTGCTACCCCATCCCACCCCTCCAGGTTGTCACTGAGCACTGGGTTGAGCTCCCTGCATCACACAGCAAATTCCCACCAGCTGTCTGTTGTACATACGGCAATGTGTATGTTCCATGCTACCTCAGTTCGTCCCACCCTCTTCATCCGCCACGGTGTTCACAGGCCTGTTCTCTATGTCTGTCTCCATTGCTGCCTTGCAGATAAGTTCATCAGTACCACCTGTCTAGACTCCATATATGTGCGTTAATATATGACACTTGTTTTCTCTTTCTGACTTAGTTCTCTCTGTATAAATTGGCTCTAGGTTCATCTACCTCATTAGAACTGACTCAAATGTGTTCCTTTTAATGGCTGAGTAATATTTCATTGTATATATGTCCCACAGCTTATTTATCCACTCATCTGTCAGTAGACATCTAGGCTGCTTCGTTGTCCTAGCTATTATAAATAGTGCTACAACGAACATTGGGTACATGTGTCATTTTCAATTATGGTTTTCTCAGGGTATATGCCCAGTAGTGGGATTTCTGAGTCATATGGTAGTTTTATTCCTAGTTAACCATTTCCTTTCTTAAAAGTATTTTCTACTATGATTCTTGCTCTTATCTCACTTTATTTTTTCTTAAATAGTATCGGATTACCTCTGTCTTCTGGAGATTATCTGATTATTGTCCTTGTTTTAGGCTTTCAGGATGAATCTGGAAAAACTCAGCAAGCCAGAACTCCTAACACTATTCAGTATTCTTGAAGGAGAACTTGAAGCAAGGGACCTCGTTATAGAAGCTTTAAAGGTATGTTTTTAAAAAGAGAGAGAGAGAGTGGCCATCTTATGATTTGAAAGCATTTCTTTGGTTAACTAGGATATTTCTATATTCGTAGTTGAAGTTAAGAGGCCTTGGTATATACACATTGATACTATGCTGCTATAGCAGCCACCCATATGATATGATTTTGGGACTGTGATGAACCCTTTCTGCCTCCAAATAATTCCTTTAGTCTCCCTACCTGATGTCTGGACTTGGACTTTATTCTTTACCTTAGTGCCTTTAGCTGTTTCTGAATGCCAGCCCCTTGAGAACTTGATGAAACCTGCTTTCTTAAAAATCTGTATACACCCATATTCCATAATTCATGATATAATATCTGATAGATCAAGGACTCCATTAAGACCATGAATAGATTCCCTAGACCCCAGATTAAAAATTCTTACTTTTGTTTCAGTATTTGATATCTAGTAAAATACCCAGGAGTGGGGAGGAGATGGTTATGGGAAATCTACTTTCTTTTCAATTTTGCTGTGAACCCAAAATTAATCTAAAAGTCTAATTTTAAAAATATATAAGGGCATAACTTCTTTAAAGTGTCATGAATCTTCTACACCTTGGGAAGGATGTTTTCCAACCTGTCCTGAAATCACATTGGGAGAGGGGAAGAAAAGACCTTAAGGGTATCTGTGTGAGTAGTAGGAGGATGATACACCAAAAGGGGAGAAGTGGCCAAAGAAGATGAGACTTGGGCATGCTGAAAAAAGCATAGTCTCTGCTGAAAACTATTGCTTTTTTTTTTCTTGTAGCTCTGTAATGTGTGATGAGTGGTTTCCAGTGGTTTAATTTCTCCAAAGTGCATGAGGCACTGATTGTGGGGTGGACTCTGACTTATTTTCCTTTCCCCGCTTATTTCAGTCTTATTTTACATGGTGTACCTGAAGATCACATATTTATGGCTTTGACACATGTTAGTCAAATATAAAGTTCATTGCTCAAGTCTCCCTGTTCTGCCACTAAGCATGACTGTATGACCTTGGTCAAGTCATTCAGTCTGTCTGAAACAAAGCTTCCTTGTCTGTAATAAGAATAAATGATTAATAACTAGTATTTCTGTGTAACACTGTAATTTGCATGGCATTATAAGTGCTCCAGTGGTGCAGGATTCATTTCTTTTCCCTTTATTTGTATTCTCTCAGATATCATGTACCCCATATCCAAGAAACAGTCAATGGTTGCTAATCATTCGAATGGATGTTTCTAGTGTGCCCTCAACAGGCTAACTTTTTAATGACTCCCCCGCCAACATATATTACATATAAATGTTTACTCTGGTTAGTGACTCATTTCTGCCACATCCACAGGTCTTCCCCTTTTGTTACTCTTGGGGATTTCTCATCCTTTCCCTGTACGTCCCTGAAAGCTATTTCTCATAACCCCCTCCTAACCTGATTATACCCAGGACACCTTTCCACTTATTATCACATATTTATCTGATCAATGAAGAGAAAAGAAAAAGAAGGATTGAAGAAAGTTTGAGTTCATTCCCTATCCTTACTCCTAAAGTGTGCTGTTTTTCCTGCTTCCTTCCCTTGTTCTCATCTGAGACTTCTGGCTCTCCTCTCCATAGGAATTACCAGCTTAGACCTGGAAGGGTTCCACTGCCTGGGCTGAACCAGAAAGTGCTTTGTTCATGTCGTCTTAGGACTCAGAAAACGTTTCCCAAGAGCAGCATTACTATAAATAGCAATCAGAATTTGGAAAACTACAATAGTTTGGCAACGTGTTAAAAAGGCTCACCTGAGGATCTGTGCTAGCTGCACTGGATTCCAGGAAGAAGTTTCCCATAAATATCGCAACTGACTTACACAAAAACTTGTGGGCCTCAGCCCTCTCCTAATTGGGATAGGGGTTGAGGAATGGCTTCCTCTAATAGAAAAATTGGAAGATGACCTCTTTGCTTTCTAGCTTTAAAAACCTGTGGAGCTTTATGATTGTTTTGCTAATCCTTATATCCTCAGCACCTGGCATATAGATTCTGAATGGATATTCGTTGAACAGAGGAAATGTATGCCATTGTTTTAAAAGATTGCTGTAATATTTCAAAATGAATGTTGTGAATTATTAAATTTTACAGCCTGTCCTATGTAACATACTGCCTTCTGGTTTTAATATTAACAGATGCTAAGGTGCTTACTGCATATGTTTTCCTAAAAGAAATTTTTTTTTTCTGTGTGAATCCAATTTTAGTTATTGTAGGCAGCTTCTGACAAGTTGAAAGCACAGCTTGAGAAGCAAGAGCTATAGTTAAGAGAGCATTTTGAAATAAGATACCATTCAGAATCAGGCACAAGTGTTGTATTTAGTCTGTGCATACAGCCTGTAGGTGGTAAAGTTCTCTTCTGAGATTTAAACTATATGTAGTTTAGGTGAAATGAATAGCTTCACCAGAAGTGATATATCTTTAAATGGTCTATTGTTAGATAAAGTTAAGTAGCAGGGGGGGGGGGGGGTGTCAAAATTGTTTCATTCCTTTGAGAAAAGCAACTGCCCTATCAGATTCTTAAAGTTAAAATGAAATCTTGTTTTATTTGTGAAGTGATTTTTTGCTTGGGCTTTTCTGTTGTTGTTGTTGTTGTTCTTGGTTCTGTAGTATGTCAAGATTTTACTGCATTCTTTCTGTATAGCTCTTGCTTAGCAACAAACACTGTTGCTCTTGAACTAATGTGACAGCTCACTAATTTTCTTTGATTTAGTATTCTGTCTTAATTCATGCTTAGTTGGTTGAAAAGGTTTTGGTCTTTGTTCTTAAATAGCTATGATTGGTTTTTCCTTTATGTTTTAAGTTTGTTTTTTTGTTTGTTTTTAAAGCTTTTTTTTTTTTCTCTTTAAGAGAGATTTTTCCTGGATATAAAATCTATTCTTTAACCTTGCATGTCTGAACAAAACCATATGGTTCACTGTTGCTGTTAAATAAATAGTAAGTCCCATTGGCAAGGGTTAGATTTATATAGGGATGTATTATAAAAGTTCCTGTAGTTTGTAAGTAAATCCTATCTATAAAGTTATAATTGTAAAAGAGCTTCATTCATTTTCCAGAATTTCTGCAGAGTTTCAGATTGCAACTACACCCTTGCAGAGCCTTCATAGTTCTTTTTTCCCCCAAAATATAAAAGCCTCCTCACTCTTCTGTTGCAGCCAAGACATGTTTGGCATAGAACCAGGGAATTCAATAGAAAATAATGTAATATTCAGCTCTTCTGTATTTGAAGTCTAATTGTTAGAGGCCATTTATACCATATTTGATCCTAAATGAACTTTATATAAAATGATTTTCTGTTTTAGAAGGCATTACGTCAGAGAAAAGCCTTCTTAATGAAAATCTCTCCCTTTGATTTGCCCACTTCATTTACATGAATGAGAACACTATGGGAATCCCTTCCACAGTGAAAGCAGATGACAGAGCTCATGAACTGTTCAGGAGAGGTTGGATTGGAACCACACAGTTCAGCAGGAGAGGCTCAGTTCATTAATTCTAAGAAAATCTAGGAAAAGCCTCCCAAAAGGGTCTGATTACTCTAGAGAAGGAAGAGGGAACATTCATTTTTAAAATTTGGAAAATAGATTTGACTGTCAATAAAAGTTAAATAGTTTGAATCTTCCATGTTGTGTATATTATATCTACGTGTCTCAGATCTGATGCAAAGACACCCTTAACTATGATTAAGTAGAATCTACCCTGATTAGTATCATTTTATTTTAAAGCATTCTTTAAATTGCTTTTGCAATAATAAATGGTGAAGTATTACAACTTTCACATAGAATAAGCTTTAAGAGTCTTGAATTCCTTTCCACTGATGCCTCAGTCATAAAACAGGTATAACTCTTCTAACATCTAGGATATAACTTTGTTGCTTTTGGCCAAAAGCCATTGCAGAATTCCCCAAGCAAGAAAATTTACAGACAAAAATGTTGTAGACAGGACAAAGTTAGAAATATATTTAGAGTTTGAGGCTGTAACATTTAACTATTGGGAGTTTTTTTAACTGCCAGAGTTAAAAATAAAAAATTTGATGTTACATATATGTCTGTTAACATTAAATTATTTACTTTTTCCAAAAATATTCTTAAAATAATAATAAGGATCTTATGGCAGTGCCAAAAATATAGAACAAACAAAAGCTATCATGGAAGGTGCTGTGGCTTAAGAAAATCACAAATACAAGTTCACTGTAAGTTGAGTCTGACATCTGCTTTTGGTCATGGCCTTGTGCTTTTTATGGAAGCAGATTATTATGAAGGCTGGTCTGAGATGAGGAAAGTAAAGTTGAATTTGGCAAAAAACATTCATTGTCCTATACTAGTAAGCTTGTCAAGTGTGTTTGCCTTGAAAAAAAAAATCAGATATATACTCGCTTAATAACAGATCTGTGAATATATTTAAATGTACTCAAAGTTGAAGCATTCTTTGTCACCCATAAGCCTGGACCTAACAGTTCTTTGACCAAAAATGATCCCATTTGGATAAATGATTTTTAGGAAGAGATTTTAGAATTGAAGCAGGTAATTTAAATCATTGCTAAAAGATCACATGAACATAAGCTTATAACTGAGAGAAGTCCAGTTACTGCCCATATAAGAACTAGGGTATTAAGAAGCAAGCAGAACTTTATTTAGGGAATTGAATTCTGAGGTTTTTAGATGTACATTCATAACCTTTACTATGAAATATATTTTAGAAGAGAATCAGTCGCCATTTGGGGCCATGGCAACTGGCCCTCCAAAAAACACGTTTTTTATGTGTTTTATATAGTTGGAATTTATATAGCTAATAGTTTTTATTCCTACTCTCTGAATAATGTGCATATATAAAATCCTGGCTTTCAAAAAAGAGGCATAAAGGTGTAATTATTAGGCATTCTACTAAATTATCAACTAGAACCTTCAGTTAAGTATAGCTGTTAAGAGCATGAGCTTTCATATTAGACAGACATAAGTTTGAATTCTGACATTTAACTGTATGATCT